TCTTTCATCTAGTATGATGACCTTGAGGGTTTGGTTGTGGCATAAGATGGGTTCAGTCAACTGGCTTTGTTTTTGGAAGATTTTAGGGGGCCAATGCTGAAACTCTCAACTCCAGGACTGTGTGCTATCTCTCTGGGGGACTTGTATTGGGCCCTGATGTTGTTCTATGGATCTTTGAGGTTAGGAATCCACTGTATGGGGGTTTGGGGTGGGGAGCTGAGGTGGTTTGGATTGCTGTTCACTACATTCTAATGGGTGGTATTAGCTGAAGCATTTTGTAGTGCAGTGACACTGGGATCCATCCTCATTCGCACATGACAGCAGCAGTGGCAGCAGAAGCATAGTAAGGTATATGCTTCTTGGCTGTAGCAGGATACAGGTGCTGGGGTACCTGCCTCCAAGTGGGCATTCATCACAGTGGCAGAGGCAGCACCGCTGGGTGGGGGTGGGGGAGTCCCTGCTGGCAGCTGTGCATGCAGTCATGCTGGTGGTGTTGTTAGCATGGGGGTGTGGTGCTAGTGGGCACAGGTCTGTGTGTGTTCTCTGTGTGCTGCAGGTAAGGGTGTTCCCTCAGAGCAGGGGAGGATCCACTGTTCTTGTGCCTAGTTTCACTCCCAGGGCAGTGTTGGCACAAGGGCAGGGCACTGGTGGGAATAGGGCTGGCTGACTGGCTCTGTGCTCACCAAGGCTCCAATTGCAATGGTGGTGGTGGTGGGGACGTGGGGTGGAGTTTATTCCCACTGCAGCAGTAGCAGGGCAGGGAGCTTGCACACACTGCACTGGTGGGCAAGGAAGGCAAAACTGGTTCATGTACATGTGCTCTGGGAAAGCAATGTGGGGGCTTGCTGTGAGCCTGGGGAAAGCTGCCGTGTAGGGAGGGAGTGGGCAGGCTGGTTCATGGCCATGGGGGCCACCCTTCTGGAGCTGTCTGCCAGCCAGGCATGATCTGCCAGTGCAAGAGCTGTGAAGTGGGACCACAGGGCACCTGAGGCTGCTTTGCAAGCAGATGTGGTGAGGCTGGGGCCCTGGGAGAGGCCAGCAGACGAAGAGGTGCTCAGGTTGAACTGGCCCCACATGATGGGCAAGATCACCCTGCAGAGTTCAGATCTCACAGTTTCCATAGGGCTAAAGTCTCCTATGGGAGCAAGTTGAGCCAAGGGAGATGGGCTTCCGTGGCTGTGCTCCACTACAGATCCTCCTGCACCAAACCCTTTAGGCTCTGCCTCAGCTGATGTGCTGCCCCCACCACTTCTCTAAGCAGCTGTTCCTGCTAACTCAAGTGTCTGTGCTGGTCGAAGGGGTCTCCTCCTGCTGGGATTCTAGAGGCCCATGGCGAGAACAGGTTGCTCCTTGCCAGTTCAATCCACCTGTTCGCCTGGAGTCACTGGGGCCAGGAACAAGTCCCACTGTGTGGTAGCCTCATGTGGGGTTCCCAGCTTCTTCTCCCTTCAGCCCAGCTTCTGGTCTTCCCTCCATCCACTCTAGGTGCCTTCCCTCTGAAGATCTGTTAGATGAGGTCCAGTCATCTTGGTTCCTTGGTGGCAGCTGTTCCACCTGGCTGTGTCCAGTCAGCCACCTTGCCCTCCCACCAGAAATTAAAAAAAATTTCAGGTAGAAAAATAGTTCGATTGCTTTGAGTTTTGTGTAGCTTTGGACTTTTAAAGTGTCAGAATTTATTCACTTACTAAAAGTGACTTGGAAAGTTACGCCTTTGGTTTAATTATTGGTAATTACACTGTCATTCTGTTTCCCTTGTGTATTGAACTAGGTCCAGAATCCAGTTTATGTAGACCCTGAACATGTTATGAGAATCTTATTGGTATTTGTCCCCTGTATTTAAAGATTAGCATTGGATTATTTCACATTGCATGGCTGTATCAAAACATTTCATGTATCCCATAAATGTATACACATACTATTTTTAAAAAAGTACACCTTTGAAAAAAAGATTTTTAAAAATAAATAAATATTAACATTGGAATATTTCAAAGTTGTCAGTGTGGATTGTCTCAACCAATAACCACTGCTTGATCTATATAATTTTTTTTAACAATAATTTTATGATTAAGTTATTCTTCAATTGTAGGAAATTTTACATTGTTCTAGTTTTTCTCCTTGAACTTGTATTTCCATTTCACTTTTTCCCACTGGATTATTTATTTGTTTATTTAAGAAAAAATGTATAAATATATAGCATCTACTATGTGTCAGAGATTTTAAATATAGACTCATTTAACATACTATCTCAGGTTAGGTTTCCTGGGAACCAGATTCTAAGATGGAGACTAGGATGTAGCATATTCATTAGGGAGCATTGTCGGGATCAGCACCTGAGGATGGGAGGAGGAAGAAGAGAGATTAGGTAGGGAGGGAAATTGAGCAGCTATGCAATGCCGAAAAAGGCCTCAGCCAGCCCATGGGTAACTCTGGAATTGGACTGGTCCTTCAGAGTTGTCCTGAGTTGAGGGCCGGTGCACAGGCATTTATACTATTCCATATATGTGGATGTGTCATTGAATGTGAACTGTCTCTTGGAGGAGGCATGATTTTGAGTAAGGCGATTTCCTCGGTTAAGGCAGTTCCCAAAGAAAGCTGACAGCTGACGGCTGACTGCTGGCAGCACTCCCCACAGCTGAAGGAAGAGGTCACTAATGACTAAAGGAAAATCTGGAGGTGCATCACAGGGCTCACCACATCTTCATCATGACTTTATGAGGATAACACTATTATTTTTCCTATTTTGCAGATGAGAAAACTGAGGCACAGAGAGGTGAAATAAGTTAGGCAAGCTCATACGTTTCTTAAATGGTTGCGCTAGGATACAAACCCAGATGGTCTGGTGCCAGCTTTGTGCTTCTAACCACTGGCTCATGCACTCTCCAAGGGAACTGCCTTTTGATCTAATTACATGCTGTCATTAAAATAATCTTTTAAAGCAGGAGTTAGCAAACTTTTTGTAAAGAGCCAGATAGCAAATATTTCCAGCTCCTCAGGCTCTGCTGCTTTTGTTGCAACTATTCAATTTTGCTCTTGTAGTGCAAAGGCAGCCATAGATAGTGCATAAACGAATAGCCATGACCCTGCGCCAACAAAAGTTTATTTGCAGAAACAGGTGGCAGGCTGGATTAGCTTGTTGACCCTTGTGTTAGGAAATTACTTAAAGATTGAGAAAACACTATGGTTTACTGTTACTGGAATGAAATATTACTGGATGAAATAATTATAATGATCCTAGCCTTATTTTAAAAGGGTAAGTTTTAACAGTAGATTTCTCTGTGTGGTAGGTTTAAAAGTGATCATTATTTTCTTCATTATACTTTTCTGTGTTTTCTAAATTTGAATGTAATTGTTATATGCATTACAATATAAAAATGTTTTTAATGAGAAAAAAAGAATGTTATTTTAAGAGTATAATTGGAGGGATTAGGATGCTAAATTCCATAATAGACACATCATAATCCTATATCCACGAAGTTAAGGCACAAATAAGATTCAAGCAGCATATCAGATGCCTTATTAACTGGAGCAGTTTTAGTATGACAACTGCAACATGAGCAATGCAAACATTTCCTGCCTTGCTCATTGCTTTTTTTGTTAGTAATTTGGTGCATTTCTTCTAATGCGCACTGAGGCACTAAAGTAGCAGCTATCAAAATTGTTCTCAAACTGGCACTGTTAGTCCAGTAAAACCACAGTCATTTTACTGCCTGATCTCTACCCCTCATTGAACAAGACTTAAATAAATCACATTTGGGATTTTTGAAACAGATGATGTGGCTACATTCTGCCAATGTCTCTGCTCCCACAGCTATTGCCCTGCTTTAGGTCTTAATTACTCCTCACCCAGACAGTAGTCTCCCCAGTTGGCCTCTGGCTCCCTGGTTCCTACTCATTTACTCTAATTCTTCTCCTCTGTAAGGCCAGATTGATTACTCTGAAGCATACCTGAAGCGACCCTTTATTTAGAGCTTTTCATTGGTTAACATTCCCTACAGATCAACATCCAGACACCTCAGCCTTGACTTAAGATGTCCGTGTTGCAAGTCATAATGGTTGAGATATGAGAAAAAAAAATCTTGTATTTTCAATGAATCAGATTAACTTTATAATTAGACCCAAAGCAGTTATATAAACAGTTTTCTGTTGGTAGTAAAATAAGAAAAAGATTTCCAGAACAAGAACTGGGAGGTAGATGTTTATTAGACTATGAAGACAACACATTCATGACCAAGGTCATTTTGAGAAAAAGATTAGGTCACAGAAAAATCAAAGCATATCTGATTGGCCTTAGTCAGTAATTTGGACTATTTCAGATATAAGGTACAATGTGTAACTGGAAAACCTTCAGATGAATAACAGACTTGACTCACATGCTCTAAATCCTGGAACATTAGCAGCTCATTTGAGAAGTTAAGCCTCACTTTCTTGGCTAAGTATAATCATAACCCAAGGAAGCAATGAAAGAGGGGAAAAAACCCAGAAGCATAAAGAGAACCAGAATTAGAATCAGGACAGGCATGATGTGGACAGAAATTTACTTCCACAATTTTAGCCTTTTTATGACTTTTATGCTATTCAGTTTTATAATCATTGTTCTATTGGCATATTTTGTCCTCTTTTTGAAAAATATTTCAAATAATTTCCTACTTTAAACTTGAGAAGAGGGATTCAGTTTGCAACAGTGCTTAAGATAAATCTCATTTACTAAATTAATAGATGTTAAATGTGTTAGTTGTATAAATGAGGTAAGTATATGTTAATTATTTAAAGATTAGTAAATTACATATAATGGTGAATATTTCTCTCCATGTAACATGGATAAAAGCATCTGGAATTTTTTTTAAAGGGTTATCAACATGAGGTTGTCGCTATCTACTGTGACCCAACATATTTTTTCACACTTGATTTCTTAATTCATACCAGAGCTGTCCCACTGAATTGTTCCCAATTACTTTTCCATAGCACTTTCCTTATAACATGCTTTTGTTCCTTCCCCCTAGGCCCCCAGAATGCCCTTCTCCAAGACTTAGAAAAATCAAATGCTATCCATCCCTCAAGATACATCCCTCCAGCCCGTCCTTGAAGTCTCCTGCAGCTAGAAGTAGCATCTATCCCCATCTGGACTCCTTAGCACTTTGCTGTACCTCCCTTGGTCCCCATCTCTTTACACATACACACACACACACACACACACACACACACACACACACACACACACACAGAGTATTATAATACTATTAGCTATTATATTACATTATATTATTGTAGTTCTACAGGAACTACAAGAAATTCTACTATGAATTCCTTGAGGGTGGGATACATTTTACAGTCATCACTGTTTCTCTCATTATTTGTGGAATCAAAAAAATGAGTGCATGATGAAAAATTATACAAACACATACATGATTTCATTCCAATTGAAAATTAAAAAATATGACTGTTAAAACAATGTTGAAGGACATGTAATAAAATTCAAATATTCCTACCGTGCACAATTGTTTTCACTTCTCTGTGCCTCTTTCAACATTTATTTGTGTGCATGCACAGCATATTTGTTTGTGTAACAGGATGTTAAAAAATAGAATTTGTTACCTGTAGTTTTTGCTAAAGCCCTACTAGACTATAACAGAACAATAGGTGGTGGCATCTCCATTCCCCATGAGATGCTACCTACCTATGCAGAGCTGGAAAAGATTTTGCGACCTGAAGACCCAATCCTTTCTGAGAGATATAAAGGAACAAAAGAATCTGGAAGAGATTTCTTTGGAGAAATTCATTTTCTGTGAGTCTCACTCCTAATCCCCTATGAGATATCTGGGGGTGAGGGGCAGGTGCTGTTCCACACAGAGAGCTTGAGCTGTGCATCTTGGAAGAGGGAGGTGGGTAGGGAAGAGGGTGGGCTGCTTTTGGACTCATGCCTTAAAACTCAGGTACTGGGGCTGGCTGGTTCTAACGGCCAAGAGGTGAGAGGTGCACCTGTGGGGAACAAGCTGCACTCTCAGAGTTTGTCAGGATAAAGGATATGTGGGCCTTGCCTTGCAGATGGGATGTGGACTACAAGGGCAAGAGAGTCAGCTTGAAGAAATCTGTAGAATTATCTGCCAGGGCTGAGGTGAACACAGCAGAGAGATGTTGGAGGTATTCTGTTGGGAACAAGATAGTGTGAGGTAGAGATTGTATTTGATACCTGCTAGAGAAGAGATATTGCATTAAGGCCAGCATTAAGAGAACTTCAGATGAGAAATCCTGGTGAAGCAAAGTCTCCAAAGAATGCATGAGACCTCTGCAGTGAGAAAGAGATCACCTCAATACCTTCCGAAATCAAAGCATGGCAGTGACCAGCTAAGCAGATCTTTCCTGTCTTCTACCTGAAAGGGCCTGAAACTGCGATTCATGAGTTTGGGGAAGGCAGAGAGGCAAAAAGTGGGGAAATGGAAAAGTTGGCCATGTCCCCTATCCTACTGCAGTATTCCAGAGAAGAAACTTCAAGCTCAGAATATTGGCTACTACCCGGGATAAATATTTAAATTATTGGAACGAGAGAGTTTTTGTAACTAAATTTGAAAGAAGTGACTTTTTATATCAAAGACCAACCCAAAGATTTATGACCACTGCCTGTGATTTCATCCATGTTGCAAGGAATATCCCGCCCCAATAGGAAGAGCAGTGGGGGAAAAATAAAGTTGTTTTATGATGCATCCTATGGAGTTCTACTCGACAGAGTGGTAACATTTAACTGTAATCAGGATGAGCAAGCCACTTTATTAAACTAAAATTTTAAACTTTAATAAATATAATACAAACTGAAAAATAAAAATGATTTTTCAACTCTACACAAAAATGTTAACTGTATAAACAGTGAGATGTTACACAGGGCTGAGGCCGATAGTTCTTCAGTTTGTACATTAAACGCCTCCATGGAGGGTCAATTGCATCCTACTTATTCTGATGGTTATCAGGTAGCAAGAGATTTAAGGAAGAGGCACTTTTCTAATCTGGGGTAGAAAAAGGAAGTATACCGTGTATCATGAGAAGTATTCACACATAGTGTGTCAATTAAGCAAGTGCTCAGACTATTAACAATATTACTATGTGATGAATGTTTATACAGTGGATTCAAAAATGAGCTTCTTTCCAGAAAGCAGCTTAGTTTTCATTAATTACCAGCATCTTGGAAATTATTTATTTAATGGTTTAAAAGTTAAAGTTTCGGTCTATATTTGTTTTTTTAACATCAGCCAAGGAAATACATTTCTATCATATTGCATCTTGGGAAGTATGCAATAAGTGTAACTATTGAATATATATTGAAGAGCCACAGACACTGAATTTAACTGGAAGAGACTATTTTAATTAGAAAGACACTCAATCATCTCCTGTGACCAGCTTAAAGTTTTTGTTTTGTTTTGTTTTCTCTTATCTGGAACAAGCTAAGCTCATATTTAGAAAATAAAGTTAGTTTTTTGGGTGCATGGGTTTTAGAGTAAACCAGTAATTTAGTAAACTTTGACATTTCCACTTTGTCTCCAAACATTTAAATTCTATTTGTCTGATTGAAGTTCCAAGGCATTCTGTGTTTACTTAGAAATGATTCCATATATTAATGTTTACAAATGCTAAATTATATTTGTTAAATACATGTCTTATTGCCTAAGAGTTTTTCCTTTTTTGTAAGTTTTTAATATAAATGTCTAGGAAATAAGACTCCCATTTAATAGCTTATAAAGAATGCTGATGTATCAGCAGTGGCCTTGACATTATTGGATACAAGTAAGATATACACTGATGATTAAATCTAATTGGCTAAGATTATCCATTCTAATAAAAGCACTGACTCCATGATGTTTTCTTGTGGCTGAAATTAACATTCATGTTCCTACCAGCTCTTTAATATCTTAGTTACTGAAAATTATTCCTTTGGACCTAATTTTTTCTTTACTTTGGATGTATTTGACAAGGTAGAAGTTAGGGATTGGAGACTATGTAAAGAATGAAATAAAATGTAGTCACTTTTAACTATATCCACATATATCCACAGGGAGATGGGGGTTAACACTGATAATTATTCTCAACATTCTTCTTCTGGGTTTGGAGTTAATTGAGAAATATACATAGCGGTCAGAAACATAGGGATCAAAATATCAGCATAGTTTTCAGTAAAGCTGAATGTGCCTTGGACCTGCGACTCAAACCAAGCTTCTTAGTAGCTGTACCCATGTCTAGACTTTGGGGTTTCTCATGGGTATTACAGTTGTAAAGGGTTTCACTTGCTGCCTCCCATCCTTGGATTCCGAATAATAAGTGTGGAAAAGAGGAAGTCACAATGCGTAGGACTTTTAACATATTAACTCCACTAGTTCAAGAAAAATCAACTAATGGGTGTTAGATCAATGGATGTTAGACTATCTCCCCCCATCATAACACTGAGATGGGTCAGTGTTAGGGTTGCTAGATTTAGCATACACAAAAAATTACAGGCTGCCAAGTTTAATTAAATTTCGGATAAGCAATGAGTTTTTTTTCAGTGTAAATACGTTCCAAATGTTGCATGTGACATACTTATACTAAGGATGAGATACACCTAACTCCTCCTCCTATGAGTAGGAGTGAATTAAGGGATATAGAGATACCTAAAATTACACACTAGCAGAGGTATCAAGAAAAAATGAAGGCAGGAGCATAGGGTTCCCATGACATACTTTGGGGAATTTTGCGAGTTTAAGTCATCAAAATCTTTGGAAAGATAAAGTTATTTAGAAGACAATCACAAAATGCTACAATATTTAAAATAGTTGTTCATTTTACAACCATTGCTGATGAATGACTATTGCTATGGGTACTATAAAGAAGTAGAATTTTAAAAAAAAATTCCTGCCCTTAGTGAAATATATATTATTTAAGTATTATTGTATAACACAAAATATTTACTTCTCAGTACAAAACACAATAAGTATTGTTCGATGAATGGTACCATAAATAATGCTGAAAGAATTCAGAGCAAGGAATGATCTTTGTGGGCTGCATACCAGTTAAGAAGCATTAAAAAGTAGAAATTTGCCCCATTTCCTATGAGTCTAGAGATAGAATGAGCTTCAAGTAGAGGACAGAAAGAAATGGATGATGTCAAATGATAACTGATGATTTGTTTATGAGTACATATAAGATGTCTGCTTGGGATTTCTAGGGCTATTTGGAGAGTGAGTATTTTGCAGGGGCTAAGGATTCAAGTTAGTGAAGTGGCAATCTGTTGGAAAATTAAAGTCTCCATGAGAAATGCTGAAAATAAGAATTAATGAGATCTGGTGGCCTAAGGAGTAGAGTCCAAAATGATAAATCTGTGTAACTGGCGTGGTATCAACTCTGTTTTAACTATTGCTTAATAGGTTGAGGAGTTGAAGTGTTTTCAAAGTACTTTTCATTATGAAAATTTAAAAACATGTATATTAAGGGGAAGATGACAAAAATCTGTATACCAACCACTCAGAATTTAAATGTTTCAGGGTTTTAAAAAAATTATTCTCAGATCATTAGAAACAGAGTTGAAGTCCCCTTTGTATCCAGTCCCAGTCCTATTCCCGTTTCTCTCTGCAGTGATAACCACTATCGGAAAACTGGTGAGTTTCCTCCTATCAAAGTTTGTTATAGATTTACAACATATAGATGTATCTATTTTACAGATGTATCTGTAAGATAGCTAACATTTTGTATGTTTTAAAATGTTATAGAAAATATATCATATTTTTATATCATTCCATAGCTTTCTTTTCTATTAAAATTACATTTTAAAGATATATAAAGGTTATAAGATATATTTGTTGAATAAATAAATCAATGTTGTTATGTCCTAAATTATTTATCCAACCTACTGATAAACATTTAGGTTGTTTCAAGCATTTTTATTAGAATAAACATTCTTATCTATGTCTTTTGAACAAATGTGCTAGAATTTCCCAGGGTATATTCCTAGAAGTGAAAAAAATACACATTTTTATTTTTAACAAATATTGCCAAGTTGCTCTATAACGCAGTTTTACCAAATCACCCTTCCCACCACGTGTCCTATTTCCCAACATCCTTACTAACCCTTTATTACTCTCTTTAAACTTGTCAATCTAATGAAAAACATATGATATCTTAGTGTTTTTAGTTTGCATTTTCATGAATACTAATGAGAGTAAATACTTTTTCATATGATTATTAGCCATTCTTATTTCCCTTCTAAAAAATTGCCTTTTCTAGCCTGGGCGACAGAGCGAGACTCCGTTTCAAAAAAAAAAAAAAAACCAAAAAAACAAAAACCAAAAAAACAAAAAAAAAATTGCCTTTTCATATCCTATTTTTTTCTTTTTCTTATATATTCTGGATACTGATCCTATACATTATGAACATGTTCTAGTGTTGTTTGTCTTTTAAGTTGTTTTTGAAATTACATAACATCTATGGATATTTACTGTTTACAAAGCTCTTTTGATACTCACCACAACACTGTG